CAACATCTGCCATCTTTCTCTATCTCTGGGTGTGTGTGTGGTTGGATTTGGCCAATGAACTTGATTGTGGCAACAGAGTCTTAGCCGGGGATTGACACAACTCAAGTGGAAGAGGAGCCAGCAGCACAAAAGGCCAAAAAGCTCATAATGCATTAAGCCCCCTTGCTGGAGAGGATGGGCGTCTGAAGCAGGAAAAGCAGGAAGAGCAGCACCAAGTGTACGAGGAGTAGGGATAATACTAGCTTTCATGAATATTCTTTGCTTTTATTAGCCTCTTCCTTTATTGGATATTATTTGAACTTGCCTTATTTCAGTTTATGTCTTTATGATCAGCTTATTATAGTCTTAGCAGGCTAGTTGTATTTAGATTGAAAGTATAAAGAAAATGGAATCATAAAACTGAAATAAATGTTTGTTTCATTTCGTTTACAACACATTCAGAGAGATAAGGCAGCTTATACAACTAAAGTCATAAAAGTTATGAAGCTTAAAATAAATTTAATAACAAACTTATAAAAGTTGAAATCCTTTTAAATAAACTCAACCTTTGAGACATTTTCATTAAGTAATTACATTTTTTTTTCGAATCTTTTGGCATTAATTGAATGACTTGGCCAATCCACTTTCTTTTACTTAAATTTCAATTATTTCTGTAAAGCAAATAGTCCACTTTCTTTCCTTCCATTCTTATTTCTTACCCATTTATCATCGACAATGACGGTGCGGCAAAAGGACTCCCAGGACGAATCCTTACTGTGTCCCTTAATAATCGCCACTGCAGCAGTGGAAACTGCAGTCCCCGAACAGCAGAGCACAATGAGCTTACTGACCACACCCCCAGGAAACAGAATAAGATCACCTCACATATATATACTATATACATACTCGTATATCCACTGAGCTTTATTACACACTTTTGGCCAAAAGGAAATCCCCGTTCCCCACTTTCTCTCTGTATTTCTTTTTTTTTTTTTTTGCTATAAAATAAAAGAAAGGACTACAAATTGCCAGAGGCCATATAAGAAGAGGTGTTGAAGGAAAGTGGCAAAATTTATTGTCAGACGGAATAAATTCTTTAAATCCCAAAATGGATTGTGTAAGCATTCTGGAGGAATGGTAAGAAAAACCCCTTTGATATCACTTACCAAATGTTTACCCATTTAAAAGCCTTGTTTAATTACAGTGACGAACAATTGACAGCTTTTAATGAGACGAAAACACGGCGCAAATTGCGAAATAAAACATTTCGTTCTCATTCGCATTCCAACTTTTATGGCCTTCGATGGATGATGGGATATTGCCTTGGCCGGTATACTCTAACCAACCAACCAACCAACCAACCAACCCATTCCCATTCCTTGGTTTTACCCCCTGACTTAGCCACAAATTAATGGCCTAAGGGGAGCGGACGTGGGGGACGTGAGAACTCTTTATGGACTGCCAAATGGGGAGAGCAAGTGTGTAAACGAATGGAAGGAAAAAGTAAAACAAATTCCAACTGCTTTTTACGGCAAATGGAAATGAAATTGGAATCAGAGTTAAAATCCGAATCGGAAGTGCAGCTGCCTAGGGATTAGCATTGCAAATTAGTTGGGGAAATTACAAAAGCGAATTAGATAATTAAAAGGAGATTGATTGGGTTGTTCTTCGTTGGGTACATAAGTATCTCAAGCATCTTGGCTTGAGGTGGGGTCAAGATTTTAAGAGGCCAATCGATTTTATTCTTCAAGAGAATGTTTAAATATATATTTCTAGCTCTTAAAGTAAGGATTTATTATGGAGTTATCTAAAGTTGCTTGCAGCTCTCAAGCTAGCATAGCTTATTGAGAACTTCCCACTTAATCATTTATGTCATCAATTATGAGTAGGAAATTAAACCTAATTACAATTTGATATAGATAATTTCCGCTCTCAGTATCTGCTAACCATATATCTTCCTATAGACTTGACAGTTGACAAGAGTCTAGGGAAAACCTAAAAGTTGCAACTCAATTGGCTCCAAATTGTTGGCCAACTTGTGCCTCACAAGGCAAGCTGGTAAAAGTGCATAATTCTATAAAAGGCACACAAATTGAAACACAAACACAAGCCGGAGAGGAGTGACTCCCAACTTGGTTTGCCTTCATACTCCATTCCTCCTGGCAGTCAGTAAAAGAAAAGTTCGGCTGGCAGTCTCTGAGTTTCTATTAAAAATATTGTCAACTCAATACTGGCAGTGTAAGTGCAAGTAAGCGGGGATAAGGCAGTGCTGGTGGGTTGACTCTGAGTTGATTGTTGTAAACAAAGTTTTCATAAAGAATTTCCACGCCGCTATAGGGTGAAAAAAAAAAAAATGAAAAAACCCCAAAAAAAGCCAGGAAGCCGACAAATTGGCAAAACCTCCAAAAGAATCACAACATAAGGCACAACCCAGCCAGCTGCGGTTGGTGGCACAACAAATAAATTGACATTCCCCCACCGCCATTTACTCTGCAATCCCCCGTCTGAGCCACTCGTTATCATAGTTATGGTTGAGGCTTTAGCCGCAGCCAGGCAACGATGAATGCTGCGGTTTTTCCGGAATGAAATGGAGGGAGCATCGGTGGCCAAGGACCAAGGTGTTAGGCTGAGGCATAGAATCGGATGCTGCCGGTGGCTTTTCCACATACATACATATATATAGAAACGAGTATTCCTGCTTCTTCCCGATGCGGCTGCTGCTTCTGCTGCTGCTGCTGCTGTTGCTGCCACAAATTAAAATGTGGCCGCGTTTAAATTCCCACAGAAAATTTATTGTTTGCCGCCTGCTTGGCAGAGAGCCCAAAGAACAGGAACAAAGCCAACCAGTCAGCTAGAAATAGGCAAATAAGTTAAATGCCTTCTGGTCCAAAATATTTATTGGCAAGGAATGGGAACAAGTGCGAATGAGATCATAGAATGGTTTATGTGCAATTCACTTTAATAAAACAAATGAAACACTTAGCAAATTTATGTCTCTATAAAATGGTTAAATATACGCCAGATATCTCAATTAACAATACTGTCAACGGAATAGTAAGCCAAGCTATTGTTAGTTATTTTTTCTAATTAAAAAGTTTTTGCTAATCCCAAAAAAATGAGAAAAAAATCAAATTACGCTAAATGGATTTACTAGCACTTCCATTTTCAAATGGATATTAAATTCACTTTGATGCAATCCCATCACACTGATTCATTTTTTATGCCGCACATTAGTCAAACTGACCAACAAAGTTATGAAACCTTTGCCGCTGGCTACAGCGGCAAAAAAAAAAGAGAAAATCTGCTCGCCAACAAACAAAACAAAAATAGCTGCCAAGGATAATGCGTTGCAAATGTCGACGACAATAAAAAGGATAATGCGACAAGTTGAAAACGAGCCAAAAAGGCGACCGAATGACCGCCATTTCTGTCCAGAAAACTTTGCGCCAAACACAAAGAATAAGGAAGCAAAAAAAAAAAAAAAAAGAAAATAAAAGAAAACTTTGTTAAAACGAGAAACAGAAAGTTGAAAGCATTTAATGAGTTTATTGAACCAATTGCACAAGTTGCAAGTTGTTAGTTGCAAGTTGCATGTTGCGTCATTGAGTTTTGCAGAAAGCCCAAGAAATCCAGGATTTGCTTCGCTACTTGCCAACTGATTCTTGGCCAAGTAAGACGAATGCAACAGCAGCAGCAGAAGAAAAAACACTTTCTTCTTATCTCCCAGTTAAGAATGAATTAAAGCTTAAGTTATGGGGGAGACTTGGATTTTTTTGTGTGTGATTTGCCGGCTCTTAGAGCTAATTCTAGAGACCAGCTTCCAGCCCCGAAGCCAACTGCAATTCTTCTTTGCCATTCGTCTTGGCCATTTTGCCCATATCCGAATGTCCAAACGCCTGAACGTCGCCAGGGTCAGCAGTGCTGGCAAACGAAATTGCGGCAGACAGAAGTCATTTAAGGAGAATTTATGGGATTTTAACTGACATTTAAACAGTCGCCAAGAAACAGGGACAGATAGCCTCAGGGAAATGAAGGGCGGGTGGTGCAGAGGCATGGCGTAGAGGAACTTGTCGACCAAGATTAGCGACGACTGTGCAACAAAATGTTATGGACAGGGACGGATAATGAACGACTCAGTCCTTTAGGAGATCCGGGGATATGAAGAGATGGAAAGAGCCCAAAAGGAGCGAAGCGAGAAAAATGAAATGTAATTACATTTGAAAATGGAAGGAAAAAAAGGAAAAATGTTTAAGAAAAATGTAAACGACGGTCAGTCAGTCACAAGAACCATCTGTAGCCGATGGCCAGCCAGATTTGGGGCGTTGCTTCCAAGCAAAAATCACTGCAGCATTTCCTTGTAATTAACTTCATGAAGATGTTGAAAGACTTGAAAAAAAAAATGGAAACTGAATGGAAAGAACTCCGCTGACAGCTCAGATTGAAGAAAGATGACTGTGTGAAAGAAAATGCTTTCATTTGCCCACTTTGAAAAAAGCAAATCGAAAGAATTTTTCAAAATCAAATAGCAATTTGAGCTTGGTGTTGAAAAAATGTGAAAGAGGAATCTATAGGAAAGTGAATTAGCTTAAAACTTTTCAGTTAAATTGAAATTAGAAATGAAATTACATAAAAACTTCTTCAATTATTAAAAACAGTAACATGCTCTCCTATTTATCTCAATTTTTCCCCAAAAATTTGTTATAGTTTATCCTCCTGTTTTCATACAAACTAAACTGCAATGTTTTTAGATAACTGCTACGGGCTTAATGTGCCACTGGGGGATCCTTCTTTAATTAAAACCTTCATTCAAACATAACAGAGCACTTAAGCAAACACAAGATAAACTAAATGAAATTAAACTCACTTTAATACAAGCAGAAACAATTTAATTTGGTAAAAGTCAAACGGAATTCGTTTAGGCAATTACCGAAAATCAAAGGCTGTTCAAGCAAAGAAAATTATCAAAAGGGCAAAGAAATTAAATCCCTAGGGGTTAATAACTTAATTAAAAATGCTTTTACCTTTAATACAGCTTATCACTCCAACGGGTGCTGAAAGAAAACAAGAAAGAATTAATTACTTAATTGCAGTTTCATGAAAAAGTTGCAAGTTTAAGAAAATTACAAGTTTGCAAAGGAAAAAGTTTAAAGTCAAAGCAAATGTTTCAAAAACTTTATAACTACTTTAGAAAGTATCTCTTGAATAAGCTCCTAATTGAAATGCCTAAATTGGTCATTAATGAGATTTAAATTGATTTAGAATGTTCTTCCTTTTCTCTTCTTTTAAAATATCAAAATATATTCCATGGAACTGTTACAAAGTTATGAAAACAAGATTTAGTTCAGAGTATTTTTATTCATAACTTTGTTTAATATAACTATACATATGCGTTTCTATATAGTGGGATGCATATATACATATATGAGCAGCACACTCTGTAAAAATCAACTTCAACTCAACAAGGTCGACCCCAATTTACTGCCTCTTGGCAAAGTGTGAATAAAGAGGGGGAATTTCATAGGCCAGAGGGCAAGGGCAAGGGGAACGAATGCGGGCTTTTAAACTGCCAAACCGCAAAATTTGCAGCCACAATTTCTGTCTGTGATTTGCTGCTCTCCAGTGCGTTTTAGCATATTTCCATAATTTTTCAAAAATGTGCGGCACTCAGATGGGGGTCTATCACAGAAACAATTTACTTTTTACATACATTTACCCTTCTCCTGCTTCTCCATCCATCCACATCGATATTTTTTTTCAAAACTGCACTTGTAAGTTTCTGCTTCTTCTTCTTCTTCTTGGCACCAGTAGTAGTAACAAACTGTGGCAACAGTAATCGAAAAGTTAATTCTCCGAAAAACAAGGTAATTAGTGTAGCAGTGCCCATAAAACCCAAGCGAATGTGCAAAAATAACGAGAAAAGTTTAAAAAGTGCCCAACAAAACGGCGTTAGAGATGGAAAAGAGAGGAAAAGGGGTACACAAACCAAAAAAAAAAAAAAACGAAGGAAAAATGAGCTGAAAAAAAAACGTAGAAACAAGAACTACGAAGTGGGGAAAAGTGTGGCATTGTTGGTTGCAACTAGGCAAAGGCAAACACGCCGTAATGAATGGCTCCGACTTGTAGGACGAAGGATCGGCGTTGGTGGGTGTGTGTGGGAAGGGAAGGGGGGAGTGGAAAAACTGGTATAGTTAAGGGCCCCCAGGTAAAACTATAGTTACAGCCGCAGCTCCAAATAAGGGTAGCCCGACAACAACTAGGCAAGATCTCGTTAGGCGTTGCCAAGGTTGCCAAATATGCAGGTGAATGCATAAAATGTTGGATTGGTAACTGATTCCATGTCAAGTTTTAATTGCTTCCACTTTTATTTGTTTTGTTTGCCGAATTAAACTTGGTTTTTAACTTTTCAAAGCCCTTTTCAATGGCCCACTTGACTGTGGAATTCACTTTGACCCTTGTGAACCGAACTAAAATGTCAAAAAGTGTTCACAAAGTACATATTTTACGTAATATTTGCATATCTATAGTAGACATTTGCATGTCACCTGTACTTTCAACTTTATATTTTTAAATAAATACAATATTTATAATATTAAAGTATCATATCCCTTTAATGCCCAATGATTTCCAGCTCCTGGATTATTCACTTTAACAAGCCCATATTGGCTAAGAATCTCTTCAACTTTGGCTTCAGATAGAGCAACTCTCATGGAGCAACCACTCACATGCACGAGCCCTCAATTAATTAATAAACAAAACTTTTCGCAAAGCTCTTCGAGTGCTGCATCCACGCACACACACACACGCACGGGGTTGTTGTGAAAGAACTTTTTGCCGACTGTCGTTTGTTATGCCAAAAACTTGAGTTCGCCCACCGATATGGCCCAAAAACACATTCAGGAGGAAACCCTTTAGCTCCCCTTGCTCCCTCTCTAGCCTATTTTACCCGCCGCTTCCTCCTAGTTGCGCCTAATGACAAACATGAAGTTTTTGCCACCACATCAATCAAAAGTTTTTCATCAACGTCATCAGAGTTATCACCATGGCCGCAGGCGGTACACAGATAAAAACACACTCACACACATACAATCACAGCCAGAAATATATAGATTCAAGAAGAAGAACAACAACAGCAATAATAAAATACTGCCAACACCCTGAGACATGTTGACAAACAAGAACAACATCGGCTAGCCGAGAAGACAACAATGGCAAAAAGAGCAAACTGCCGAAAGCGGGAAAAACTTAAATTATGAACGGACAAGCGGCGAACACGCGGCGTATACGTAATTTTCCTCGGTCTTGTGGCTGCTGCTAAATGTCTGCATAATTTATGGATTTAACAGCTACAACAGCAATAACAACAACAACAACAACAACATCGCACACCACAACGACCAACGATGAAGCCGAACAGGAATGGTGGCATTTCTGATGCGCTCGCACCTTAAATAAGAGAAATGGCAGCCATAAAATGCCAACAGCACTGGCAAGTGGAACCAGAACGATCGAGGGGGAAAATATCATTGGCCGACCGACCAACTAAATAACTCAAATAAAATGCCTCGAATGCCGCACAAATCTTTTAAACTTGCTTCAACGGTGAGACGAAGGAAAATGCTGTTGCTCATGTACAGGTGACACTGGAAAATAAATGTCGTTGCTAAAAATTTGTAAAAAACAATGTAAAAGTGTAAGTAAGGAACAATTTTTAAATAATTTTTTTACAAAATCCTTTTTTAATTTTTCATGAATATTGTTAAAAGATCACCCCGCTATCTTTCAGGGTAATATTGATAGACCAAGAGCACTTCATCTTCTTCATAGGACCAAGTAAAAAATATAAGATGAAGATATGACCAAAGAGGCTGAAGATGGGACGTTGCCAGAGAGCCAAACATAATCAGCTTCATCATCAATGTGGCGGCCAAGTGTGGGGGGCAGCAGTGAAAGGTGGAGGTTACTGAGGTGGCAGATTGCCACACCTTCATCTATACGTGGCCATGTCATGAATCAGGCTCAAAAAAGAGGAGGGGGAACATAGTGGGTGGGATGCTGCTGTCACCATCAACATCTTCATCTTGCTCTTGTTCTTTCCATTTGCGACAGGAGGGGGTCGACATCTTCATCTTTCAAATGCGTTTAATTATGTCAAAGTAGGAACCTTTTTTTTTCTGCTTTCTTTACGCCATGGCTCATGGTCTACCTTCTCGCTTTTCTTGAGATGTCTGTCTGTCCTTCGGGAGACACCCACGAGCATATAGTCACCTTACAGATATAAGCCAGCAGGAGACTGTAAGAATCTGATATATACCTATATACATATATATATATTCTCTTGAAGTTTGGCTGGCCAAAAGCACACTCACACAGCATAACCTCGTATTAAAGCCATGTGTAAGATGTGTCATTTCCATTTTATTTTCCAGGCCACTTCCCCCTCCCTCTTCCCAACAGACTATTCCAACCTATCGCTTTTTGCATTTGTTTCATTTGTGCGACGTTTCACATTAAGCTTGACAGTCGGGCTTTTGTGCATAATCGTGATGCCGTTAGCTCCGGCTTTAGTCCTGCTCTCCGGCTCCAACTTTGGTCCTGTTTCTCTGGCTCTGTCCCTTAATTTTACTTAGACTCCGAACCCCGGAATATCGCCCATCCACTAGACATTTTGCCTGCTGATGGAAATAAGCTACCAATTACTAAAGTGTTTCACTCTAAAGCCATTGCAGTTGCTGTTGCTTCTGATTTTGCTTCGGTCGCTGCTTTTGATTCTGTAACTCCCACTCATCTCTCCTTGCCCCCTACTCCTCCGATTCCCTTATAGCTGCTGATCTGGACTTGAACATGGACATGGAAATGGACTAAATGCTGGACGTTTGCATTAGTCGTTGCTTCGGGCCAGGGAACAAAGCAGCAACTAGACATCCACAAATGCAAGTAATGTATGAAATTAAGACGTGTATACTCTCATGGTGGCCTTTCACATATCTCGTTCTTTCAGCATTGATTACATTATCTTTCCCTTTGGTTATGGTTAATTAATTTGAATTTAACATTAAATATGTTGCTGAAAGCATTTAATCGATGCTGTTTAAGTTAATAAGTAGTAAACGGTAAAGTAAACCGGAAATTGTTATATTGTTCTTAATCGTAAACTTATCTTTTGTTAACTAGGTTAAATTGTGCTTTACGTTAAGACATTATTATCTTAAGATTTTCTGAATATAACATGATTTACGTATTCGTGCTGGTATTAAGACCTAGTTAATTGTCACGTCCGATTTATTTATTTAGATAATAATTATTAATCATGGTATGGTATTAATGGTATTGGCATGACTTCCGTTAAGTTTTCTGTTTCAATCAATTTAAGATTCTTGAAAGCTCAATAATCCATTGGGTATGTAAACATGGTCTGAAAATATGTACATTAATAATTTAAAGTCTGTAAAGATTGATGGTAACTCTCGGCGTATACAAAAGCAAATTTCCAGTTCCACTTCGCATCTGGTTGCTTTTTCAATTGCCATTCGAGCGTAACATACGCACACACAGAGAGAAAAACATACACACACACACACCCACACACACACACAGCCAAGTCCGTCGTCCATCATCATTTTAGCATTGCAGATTTAATTTCGTCAAAGTGGAAAAGTCAACCGAAAGGTCGCCGGCGGCAGACTACGCACCAATGAGTGCCACACCAAAACACTCTGATTCCACCACCCCAACCAAACGAAAACGATTCCTCCCGGCCAAATACGCTCCATGCATATGCGTGTGACCCACAGATGGCGAAAAGGACCAAGGATAGCAGCAGCAACAGCCAGGACGAAAGTAAACATAAGGCGACCAACAGCCGCGGAGGGTTGCTTTACAAATTTCAAGAAAAACATCATCAAAAAATTGTATGGGCTTTGATGATTTTAAAATGTAATTTAATTAGGATTTATCTAGGGTCCAATCAGTATGAGAGTTTAATTATAAGTTAATTAGAGGGAAAATAGCAACTAACAAATGTATAAAGGAAGATTTAAGGAAACATTTTTTA